GTCTTCAGGTAAAGATTGAACACCAACGCCCTTATGGTAAGCTGCAATCCATAGAAATTCCAGTTTGGAAGTGGGATCACATCACTATGGATTTCATAACCAAATTGCTGAGAACATCAAAAGGTTATGATGTTATATGGGTGATAGTAGATCGGTTATCCAAATCTGCACACTTCTTACGTATGAAAGATCCATATTCGATGGAAAGATTGGCAAAACTGTACATTGATGAGGTAGTGACACGTCATGGTGTTCCTCTATCAATTGTTTCTGATAGAGATAGTCGBTTCACTTCTATGTTTTGGAAAAGCTTCCAAAGAGAGATGGGTTCACAGATTAAGCTAAGTACAGCTTATAACCCTCAAACAGATGGACAAAGTGAACGAACTATCCAAACGTTAGAAGATATGCTTAGGGAGTGTGTAATTGATTTCGGAGGATCATGGGATAGTCATTTGGCTCTGGTGGAATTTGCGTACAACAATAGCTACCATTCAAGTATTCAGGCAGCACCTTTYGAGGTTCTGTATGGACGAAAATGTCGAACTCCTTTGTGTTGGAACGAAATAGGTGAAAAGCAGTTAGCTGGGCCTGAATTAGTTCATCAAACTGCAGATAAAATTGGAGTAATACGGGAACGAATGAAAGCGGCATAGGATACACAAAGAAGTTATGCAGATAAACGTCGGAAGCCGATTGAATTCCAAGAAGGTGATAAAGTGATGTTAAAGGTATCACCTTGGAAAGGAATAATACGTTTTGATAAGAAAGGGAAATTAAGTCCGAGGTATATTGGGCCATTCCCTATCATTGGAAAGGTTGGGGAAGTGGCTTACAAATTAGAACTTCCTTTGGAGTTAAGTGGGATCCATGACACGTTTCATGTGTCGAAGTTAAGGAAGTGTCTAATAAGTCCAGATGTGGCAGTACCGCTACCCCAAATTAAGGTGGATGAAAGATTGTGCTTTGAAGAAACTCTTGAACAAATTATCGACTTTAAAGTAAAGAAGTTGCGAAACAAAGAGGTTGGATTAGTAAAGGTTCAGTGGCGTTATCACAAGGGACCAGACGCCACTTGGAAATCGGAGTCTGAAATGCGAATGAAGTATCCCTACCTGTTTGCTTAAATGGAATTTCGGGACAGAATTATTTTAAGGAGGGAATGTTGTAATATTCGGGTTACAAGTTTTGAATTAAGATTTTTGGAATAAATATATTAATATATGTTTATATGCATATGTAATAATATGTATATAATATATATATATATATGTGTGTGTGTGTGTGTATGTGTTTGGAAGGTGTATGTATGTGAGTATGAGTTTGTTTGTTGAAGGCGGTTTATGCACTTGCTATAAATAGCAAGTGAATATGAAAGGTAGGATGTTGAATTTCTTGAGAGAAAAAAGAAGATCAAATTAAGAGTGAAGGCTGGTAAATCGCAAGCTTGAATCCGATCAACATTATAAGGTGAGTGTATCATGCTTTGAAGTATTAGTTGTATAATAATTCAATTGCTCTTGAGACTTGCTCTATATGAACTATATATCATCCGGGTATTCCATAAACCGGACAAAGGGTGATTGGATAACCATTCTAAACCGGACAGGCATTGTCTGGATTCAATCTTAAACCGGACAAGGGACGTCTGGATTCGTCTAAACCGCTCAAAGTTACTTGAAGTATTTTTCCTAAATCGATCAAGGGTTAAACAGCCCAAGTGTTATCCGGTTTAGAGCTATACCGCTCAAGCCTTGTCCGAATTATCATTTTTTGGTTCTAAGTCATTGTCCTGATTCCATATCCGGACAGTGATGACCGGATTTCCATATCCAGCTGAATTTTGACTAAGTTTCATTATCAGAGATAAAATGGCGGTGTAACCGCGAGAGAGATGTAATGGCAGTGTAACCGCGAGAGAGATGTAATGGCGGTGTAACCGCGAGAGAGAGAGATGTAATGGCGGTGTAACCGCGAGAGAGATGAAATGGCGGTGTAACCGCGAGGGAAATGAAATGGTGATGTAACCGCGAGAGAAATGCGAGAGAGATAAAATGGTGGTGTAACCGAGAAAGAGATGTAATGGCGGTGTAACCGCGAGAGAGATGTAATGGCGGTGTAACCGCGAGAGAGATGAAATGACGGTGTAACCGCGAGAGAGATGAAATGACTGTGTAACCGCGAGAGAGAAGAGGATCTATGATAAATTTAGATAAAATGTTCATGTCTATACAGGTTTGATTCTAAACTGTTAGTTTGGAATGCAAGCTATTTATATGAGATTTGTACACTCACTAGACCTTTTGGGTCTAATGCTTAGTTGTTGGACTAACCTGTTTTGCAGGTCATCATACCTCGCAGGATAAAGGCAAGGGGAAAGTTTAGAATTGATGAAATTTAGTTGCTCATAAATGTATTGAACAAAGTTTTTGATAGCTCGTGTTTTATAAACATTATTACATTAGCTTTTATGAATATGTGTATGTGGATTATCTGTACGTGAAAATTGTGGGTTGTTACAATTTTCGATGATAATACACTCGTTTGTACTTAACTTTGTTTTCTGGGCTTATTATAAAATAATTCTTTGACTGATACACATCTCTTAATTCTTTGATTTGTAAATCTGTAAATTTTGTTCTTACAGATCTTCGCTCATTTCTCCTATATTTTGTGAATAATCAGTTTTGTACATCACTCCTTAATTGTTCATGTACTTAATTGCAAAATTATTCTTGATCAATTTTTCATCTGATCAACTGTTGCATAATTGTGATATGATTTTTAATCAATCATTTGTGATAAAATGAGCTTACAATGTAAAATTTTTAGAAGGGACTGAGAGTTTAATAGAAATACCTCTATGGACTGTCAGAACCGACAACCCTACCTAAGAGGACATCAATATCTAAGTGAGCTTAAATGCAAAATGGGTGTGTGTGCAGATCTTAAAATGTAAATGAGAGGGGTAGGTAGTGTGAGCTAAAAGAATTGATGAGAGTTGTGTCAAGATTGAAAGAATATTAGAATCATGTTCTATCTACTATAATTCGGGCAACCACACAATCTATTAGTTCTCAATTCTTTAGAGACTAATATTGAAAAAGGCAAGCTCATGCCAACTCTTGTTAATAACCCCACCAGCTACTCATTTACCTCTCAAAAGATAAGTGTTTCATTAACACTTAATGCACACAGCTCATAATCTATCGGTTTCTTATTTGGAGATAACTGATATTGAAAAAGAATGATATATGTCTCCCTTTCAAGTCTTGTTGATCACAAATTGAGTCTGATAAATTTGTGTAATCCACACTATTTATCTTTTTGAGCCTAATCTAAAGCATTTGTTGCTTTATCATTTCTCCACTGCACAAATTTATAAAGTATTTGTTATTTTGTCATATAACATTTATAGATACGCTTTTCAAAGCTATCAATGATTGAATGGAAGTCCTGGTGAGATGAATATTAAAAAGTCTCATATATGAAGCACATTTGTTGTATTGAATATATCTGTTATATTCACAGGCCAATCTTTCTAAAAGACTGAAAACAGGTTCATAAATTGAATCTAGTTCTTTCCCTCACCTTCATAATCTGAAAAGATTTTAGAAGTGAATTTGCAAAGATTTGCTCAACTTTATATGAATTGACGACATTCCTACAAAGTTCATTCATTTCAGAGTACGATGTAAATGCTCCTCATTTTCATTACAAGGGGGAGTTTATATTGAAAATGAACGAAGATTTCAGAGTCAATTTTTGAATATCGGGGAAGGTGTCAAAGTTTCAAAGGAGTTGATCAATAAGTGGTGATAATTGCTGAAGATTATCGTGCTGTAATGTTCAAGTGGGAGTGAATGTGAAGATTCTTTCTTTAAAGAAGTTTACTGTTCTTAAAAGGGGAGATCATTCAAATGTTGATTCCTTATCAAATTAAGGGGGAGATAAAGTTTTTCTGAAGATGATCAAAGGGAGAGATTTTTTTGAAAATTTGTTCTTTAAAAAGGGAAGTTATTTGTTTGAAGATTGTTAAAGAAAAGATTGCTAAAAACTTTGAAGATCAAATCTTAAAGTTTCTGAAGTTTTCTAAAGATGTTGCTATTTTGGACTTGAATCCAAAGGGGGAGAGTGTTGGAACAAAAATATTGTATTCAAGTCCCGGTGCTAAAACGTTTTATATGCTTTAATAGTTAGGTGTTGTTGTTTTCTTTTATAGTTGGTAGTTGGTTGACTTTTTATTTTAGGAAGCTGCTATAAATAGCAGTGGTGGTTGTTAGTTTAGGGGGTTAATCGTACTGTGACAGAAGCACATTCATTCATACGCATCAAAGCAGTTTCTATCAAGAACAAGTGTACTCAACAGTTTATGAATAAAAGCTTGCCGACATATTGAAATCATTTTCTATGTTCTTGATCTTGTTATGAATTGATTGATTAGACTTAAATCTTGTATCACAAAAATTCTTTCCTTTTCTAGAGAGAGCTCCTCCTTTTCAACTTTTCCCTTTTCCTTTTCTTTTAAGAGTTTCTGTTGGAGTTTGATAAAATCTTTTATTAAGAGAGAAAGGAAGAGTCTATATATTGCAAAGAAACTGGCACGTTATACTATTTATTTCATCCTATTTTTATTTTGTTCTCATAGGGTTTTTATTTTGACATAATGTCTTAACAAGACAACAATTATGCACCATCACTTTTTTGACTCGACATAGAGGAAATGTATGCTATTACAACATATTACAAGTTTTTTACAGATTTTTACAAGATTTTCAAATGTTTTTAATGTATTATTTAAAGTGTATTTCAATACTAAATTTAAAAAATCTAAGTTATTAAAACATTTACAAAATTTTTGTGTAAAAGATATTTCTTTAAACAAGGCTAGGCCCGGGATTGGATTTGGAACTAGTCCGATCCAGAGCCGTTAACCAGGTTTAGATTTATCTTTAGGATTTTTGGTCAAATCGATTTCTGCCATCTCTACTCTAAAAGGGTTCCAACTATTGTTGGTGCACCCCAAACTAAATCAAACCAATCGACCACAGTAAATCCTCCATGAAATTCAGATATACATTAGATTTTATTTCTAATTTTAGCAACAGGAAGAGAAAAAAATATGGTCATATATATCAAATGTAGCTAGAGTCGCCCAAAAGTAGATCAAACATGCTCTCAGGAGTTAAAAACGTTGTTCCACCAAAAACGAGTTCTATATCGAGTCGGCCACTTTCAGATAACGCCTCCTGAGCTTCGTGTACCTTCAATATAACAACAGATTTACATGAGAAGTGTCCAAAATGGACTTTTGAGATGTAAAATAGCTAATCTTTTAACGATCAATATTGATAACCAGTTATTTCCTTTTTGCAGAGAGTTACAACATCTCCAACGGATTCTCTACAATTTTTTTAAAATAGAGAACCAAAAGTCGAAAAGAATTACATTAAACTCCAACTGACTATTTTAACATTAATTATATTGTTAAGACATTCTCTAATTTTATCACTTTTAATCTCTAATTCTATATCAAATTTTGAAAACGGAATGTATTAGGTCAAAATCTTAGAAAAACAAAAGGTATGAGGGAGTACTATTACTATTATCAGCATCTTCTTGGTCTAAAATCACTAGATTTTAATCAACCAACCACAAACACTTGGACAAAAACCTGCATATTTTGCGAGTTAAGGGGAACATTCATTACTTATTTCTATGAGAATTAAAGAGACTGAACTCCCATCTTTAGAAACTCGACCCAACGTGGTTCAACCTTCACTTGATTAGAAAACTGCTCCTCGTTATTAGAGATGGGCAAAAGCCGGTTATAACAACGGGTCCCAGTTAAAAAGTGCCACCTGTATTCAACATTTTGCTAGTTTGTTTGACATTTTTGTGTTCTCTCTATTATTTGTTAAATGATTCCCTTATACTTCATAGAATGGAACTGTCAGGTTTCTACAGACCTTTTTCCTATTATTTTGTAGTTCTCAAAATCGTTATATCATATTAGTATTTAGCTACGTACTTGTGCTATTACTATTACATCAATAACTTTTGAAGTCATGCGAATAGCAATCCCATCATGGTTTTTCTAGGTCCATGAAGAAGTAAAAGCTCAGAGCTAAAACATAAACACACAATATGAGTGGTCGTGTAAGTGTACCTCAATGGCATTCATGCCTCCCACAACAAAAACCAGTATGATATTTTGATCTGAAAGACTTGGTTTTGCCTGCACAACGAAAAAGAAAGATTCAGTACTTAAAAATGGCAATGAAGATCTTAAAGCATGAAGTATCATATACCTGTCCCAATCCAAACCTGCCAAACCCACTTTTGAATAGCCGACCAACAGTAGATGAATGATATTCTAAACCAGGTACATCGTACTTGCTCAGTATTCTTGTTACAAGTTTATACAGTAATCCCTTTCTAGAATAGGGATCATCAACGATGTTATTTTCCCAATTCAGTGTCGCTTCTCTCAGCCCCTTGTTCCCATTTACGTTGATTAGTTTGTGAAGGAACTTAAAAAGGTTATCAACTCTATCCCGTAACTCTAGTTTCAGTTGCATGTCACTATAGACATGCTCATTACTTGTGCTATTTGTATCAGCATCTTCTTCACCCCAACTACCCCACTGATCATCTTCAAAATCATCATCACTCTTCGAGGGCTCTTCTTTAGTTTCCCCACCTCTTTTCTTTTTCAGGTTAGCTTCAAGATCATCATATAGACCATGGAGAAACTTCAGTTTTGCTAGTTCTGGGTTTTCAAGAATTGCATCCACGATAGCTTCTTTCAGAAAATGCTCCTCTTGCCAAGAAAAAGGTCCAGCTGAACCTGAAGTTGGGAAATTCTCACCAGCCAATATAAATCCTGTTACTGTTAACAGCAAAGCATCTTCAACTGAAAATAGCCCCTGAGCTTCTCCAGTCCTCTGGCCTTGTGATTGCATCAAGGTGCTTTTGTTGATAATATCACACATTTGTGACGAAAGGTTTTGGCTCGTGTCTCCAGCACTTATGTTCAGTATTTTCTCAGTGCTGATAAACGAATCCCATTTAGCACGACATTCTTCGCTCATAGCATATGAAGCTGCTGCTGCAAGCTGTATGATTCCTTTATTTCGCACAAATGATGATTGATCTTTAGCAAGAGCTCTAATCATAAGTTGTAACTCAAATCCAGGTTGAAGTTTTGGATTCACAGAGATTTTTTCTTTACGCAATGCTTCTTGAAGCCACTTCTTGATCAATAGAGTTCCATCTTTTGTTCTTCTATCTAGAATGGATTCCAGATATGATGTCATGCGAAAGCTTTCAGTGGAGACCAAGGACCCACTAAGCAGCTCACTTTCTGAAGAAAAACAATTCTCACCATGAAGTTTATCTTTAAGACTAACCAATGTATTTATTTGTGTAGCTGAATTAGTAGAATTCCACCCCTGTAAAAACGCTTCAATTGTTTCTAACAGCTGAACATTCTTCGTTGGGACTCCTCTAAGAACATCGGATAACGGTATCTGAACATCGAGTGGAGCACGCAATACATTCGCCGGCCTATGTCCTAGTTGGGTTTGTGAGCCCTTTGCCAGACCAGATGATGTTCGTGCCCTACGAGGAACGGACGAAAAGATCCTATCAACAAGGGAGTCTCCATGACAACATGGAGTAAGAAGATCAGCGGTGCGGTCAATCAGCAACAGCCCGGCAGATCGTTTACGACGACCAACGTCGTAAAGACTGGACATATCTGTGATGAGCTTCCCGATAGTTCTTGATAAATCACCAAGTGAAAATATTTCAAGTTTCAGGTCCATCTACAAGTTTTGGAAACAGGCATTAATGTCAAAATAACAATCTATACTGTTAACAGTTTTACAAGATTATTGAAAAAGAAATGCCATTGCTATCAATATCCTCTACTAGATCTTCATCAGCATAATCACTAGCTTAGGTAGAGATTAGAAGGAAACAGCAGGAGTAGAAGATGCGTCACATAGTTTTCTGTCCTAAAGGTAATCTTGTTGCCTTCTTGTTTGTTTCATACTGTGTTGTCATAAGTCAGAAATACTAGCACAATTACTTTTTAAGGATGATTATTTTCTTTTAACAAATCTTTAGAGTAGATCTATGGAATTATTGACAGGTTAGAATCTTTTAGCATTAAATGTATGTTACATCGAGAATAGATATTTATACCCATGCAAAACACACAGAAGAACTATTATCTTGAAAGTGGGGTGTAAGTTGAATCTTGTGGTGAACCAACAACCATTGATGAATCTAAATTAAAGATAATCATGGTACAACCACAAGGATTATTTCTCTTCATATTATAAATTAGAATAGATGCATGTTGCTGTATTGTCCAAAATTTAATCATTGTATGCCGCAGCAGTCAAATTGAGAATCCTTTCCGGGAGAGCATGAAAGATAAAATCACTAATCCAGGAGTAAGTATAAACACACTAAATGTTATTTATGGAAGAAAAAAAACAACACAACAAACTAGCTGAGCACATAGAATTAAAGATAACATGTGTGGGATAAAGAGTGCATAACTGATTGATTACCTTTGTCGTCAGATGATAAAGAAATTGTGCTGTAAGAGCAACTCCAGCAGGGACATCCTCGCCATCATGAAATGTCCCAGTACTTAATGGAGGCAACCCAGAGCTAACTGAATTTTCTTGCTCAGCTGATATATATGCCTCAGCAATTGATCCTTCAGAAGGCAACACAAAGAACTTTGGTGAAAAAGGGCATAGTATCAAAGGGAAGTGATGCACATAAGCAATCAGTTTATGTCCTACATCTTCTGCATTGTCTATCCGATCATCATATATATCTTTTGTACTGGAAAAAGTTGGGGACTTGGTAATATCCTTTTCACGGGGGGTAAGCTGCAACCACCCCTCATCTTCAAGAATGGGGTTCTCGTTAATATCCTTATTATTTGTGTTTATAGAGTTTGAATCATTTTTCTTCATGAGCTCCTCATAATCTTGGACAAGTAAGGATTGATATTCATGATAAGCATCTGGTCCCAGAGGTGAATCAGGATAGGCTGACTGACCTATCTGCAATAGCATGATGGCACATATTAGAAGATGAAATTTGCACAATACAGTCCAATCACCTTCACAAAAGTCACTGCTATGTAATACAAATAAAAGCAGCAATGATAATCAGGTAAAGTGGTTAAAAATTGTGAGATGCCTTAACCTTGAGATCATAAAAAAGAAAATTAAGGGAATGGTTTGGTAATCAGGAGGTAAAGACTTGCCCGTAAAGTAAGAAGACAAATAGAATATGTGAAGACACCTCATATTTGGCTTAGAAAATCTCATGGTAATTATTAATGCTGGTAGAAATAAGGAGATTCGGGTTCTGGTGATGTAACTAACAGAAACAAATGGCTCTGATTGTACATAAACTTTTGCTTGTTCTTCCATGTGAAGGGGGTACTATGTTGCCTTTCCTATTATTCATTATCATATACTTTCTTATACATCTCTTATCAATTAAGTTCAGGATCAGTTGAGAGATAAATGAGCTTATCCTTTTGTATTTCTTTAAGCTTATGAAGCAGCATAGAGTTGACACTGCAAGATACCATACCACTCCTCCATATGCAATTTCATTTTATTTCCTTTAATTATTTTAGGAACATTCACTCACAATGCATTATGAAGTTAGAACTTCCATAGATACAAATACAATAGTTCAATTTAAGGTAGTAGCATCTCTGTCATATTATTATTCATCCCTCAATTTAGCATTCACCATAGCATAAGAATAGAAACTTAAGCATGTGAGCATATCAAATCTTCACATTGCACGAGTGTAAACCGGAGGACCTTGAATCTAATACCCAAAGATGAACAGCAGAACTTTATCATGGGAAGCACTAATTATGAGAGCTGTGATGCTACCGCATACATCAAACAGCTCTATGTTGCTCATCCATACCTGACCAGAACAACAAGAAAGCATATCGATGGGCCCTTGGAAGAGGATAATTCTAGTTCTTGTGAGACTTAACTTGCATGAACGAAACACATCTTAACCAGAAATAAAGAAAAAAGAACCAGATCCCCTGGTCTCACCCAGTATGGAAGAAAGGTTCAAGCCATCTAAATTCTAGGTTATAAGGGAACGCATGGTATGAAACCCAAATTCTGTATCAACTATCAAATAGTGCCTTCTGTTTTCCATGCAAAATATCTTCATTCTTCAGTGAATTAGACTTTCTGCCCTTTTCTTGCAATGAAGTTGGGTGCCAATGCAATCCCTGCACTTTCTTCTTGAGTTATCACCTTTGTCTCTTTGCACAGTTAACATAGGAAGAAGTAAAAGAAAAGATTAGAAATAGTGACAATTCATCTACAAGCGAAGAACCATATTATCATCTTTGTTTCTTGCCACAACGTAAATGGGTTCTACTGAACTATCTCGGGTCCCAACATTCTTCATCCTTTTGCAAAACTGGATCAGAAGATGATGTCTTCAATTTTGCTCAGACCCTCTTGGAAATATATAACCATTTGGTAGTCACTCAAGTATGCTTTTGGAGTTGAGGTTCTCAGAAGAGGGACTGTGGTATAGCAAGAAGTTGGCCTATTAACTTACTGATGGTACCTAATCGCAAGTTATTGCCTATTGCCTCAGAACCGGAAGCTAGCGGATGATCTGAAGAAACAGAGGGCACTTGTTGGGAAGTAACACTACAAAGTCAATAGCTCAAATGCTGCCAAGGTGAGTAGCCAACCGGGTTATGTCTATTCCAAACACTAGCAAGTTGGATGGGGTCTTTGTATCTTGAGGTGTCTCAAGGTGCTCTAGGAAGAGATTTGTTCTCAGGTGACAGGCAGTGTTGACAAGTTTGGCTTTTGAGATGGGGGTTCTCAGACGTTGATGCTGATTAATTGGAGGACTAAAAAAGCTGCTGAATATTTGTACATGGCAACCTCTTATAGTATATACTACTGCATAATAGCTTTTAGTTCTAGCATTATGTCTCAACGTATGGGATGAACTCCAACACCATCATTTGTATCTCTTTTGTGTCATATTATCGTTCTTTTAAGTGGACCTTTTCAATTTTTATCAGCCAAGATGTGTTTAAGGGATTATTCCTCAAACAAAAACCAAAGACTAATTTGACACCCTAGAAACTAATAGCAAGTAGCTCACCCACATAGGCATGCTGTGACTACAGAAAAATCTTCCTCTAACATCTATCATGCATACTTTTAGATGATAACAGACTCAAGCTTTGAAGATCGTTGCGCACTAAAATACATCTGTAGTAATTTTTACTCCAAATGGAAAGGGATATAAGTGTATTTATTTGTAAATAGCTCACAGTATATCAAACTACTTTCCAACAAGCATTCAGTTATTTGTCTTCCAATACTTTGTCAAATGTGCTTGGATGGAAACTTGAGCTGAAACTGTTACCAACATAATATACTTGCCTAATAACGGCCGTCCCAAAAAAAGTGTCCACATTTCTATTTCAGTTTGTCCCAAATTAAGTGTCCACTTTCCGAAGTAAGTGTCTGGTTTCCCATTCTACCCTTGACTATGAGATGGAGAAAAATTCTCTGTATTATTAAGGGTAAAAGTGTCCTTTAGTTAATTAAAAAGTGTAATGATTACACATTCCTAAGACAGGCATATTTTTTGTTGACATTTATTTTGGGGCAGAGGGGGTATGATACTATGATATTAGCTGAAAATCGAATTTTTTGTATCAAATTTGACATAAAACTCAAGTGAAAATAAAATAGATGTTGATGCATTTACCAAAGAGATCTCAAAGCAAGTATTTGTAAGTTCAAATAATTACACTAACAAGGAGTAGCACCTCTGAAATAGATGTATATATAGTGCACTGGGAAACTCGTTGAAGTGTGATCAGACAGCGTAAAATGTATCGATGTGCATCACTCAAAAGCCGGCAAGTGAAGAATACAACTTTCATCCGGTCATCACTCTTCCGATTCCAATCAATCACCTAAATAACAGTAAGAAAATAAGGTCATAGAATTATTCTTCAAGTCCCAAAGAATTACCAATATGACAAAAAGAAAAGAAATCATGATAAGAGTGAAGATGATCATAATCCTCACCTCATTTCTTCTTGTTTCATGCATTTGTTCTGACAATAGTCCGAGTAAGGTAACATAACCAATGCATAAAAGAATATTAAAAAGAACTAGAAAAGTAGGAACCAACTGAGACTGAGTATACACTTCTTTCTCCAACAACATATCAATTAAGATCCAAATAGACCAAAAAAACAAAAGCCATATGCTCACAAAATTCTTGATATTCACTGCATGCACACCTTGGGGGATAGGAGTTGGCTTCTAAAGTACACTGGTAGAGCAAAACGAAGTGTGTTCACTTTGAAAATGTAGAATTTACAACAAAACATAATGGCTTGTGTACTTCTTTTCAAGTATGCACTTGCTAGAAAGAATTATTAATGCTCTTGCATGCTAGGATAGAAGCAAAAGCCACTTTGAATGTAATGAAATGAAAAACATAAAAATATGAGGCAACGCATCTAAAACCAGCCTATCAGAAAAAGATATGAAATGCACTCACCATTTCAAGAGAAGACATGCTCTCCAAGCTGCAAACGGCAAGTCCACCCATCTCCAATAAAACAGGGAATGCCCCAAGAAACTTGAAACTTTCTGTACATCCAGCATCTAAATAAATTACAGCACCCTCAAGTTCTGCAGATATCTAAACAGCACAAGCAAGAAATCACAAACAAGATGCTTAGAAAAGATGGAAAATTATAATAAATAAGTGGCACTATAGTAGCTGCAATCATGCTATCAGTCCTCCATACATCAAAAAGGTATGTTCTTAATTTTCAATGGAAAAGACATTTTCATAGTTGTAATTTGATTGAAATTACTTGCATCAAGTCTACCCGTACATGCTCTACCAATTCACCCGCCACTCAAGGAATATGAAAATAAGGCTTTTAACCGCAATATAATTGCCTGATTACACTTGCAGCATGGATCGGTCAATTACAATCTTTACTTCTCTGCAACATCTTTAACCTGCTGTGTTAACGAAGATTCTAAAACAAATAAAATTCCAAAAGCCTCAATCACAACATTATCGGTTTCGTATTACTCAACATGGAAGTGCTGTCTGAAACACTGGTATTAGGCCTAAAAACAGAAACTTGACAACCGCACACGAATAATGAAATTAAAGGGACAAAACAGATAAAAGAATCAAGAAAACAACTGATTCGACATAGCAAGAAACAAATTCTATGCGCATGAACAAACAAAGGAGCGATTGTTGAAGATCAAAAACGCACTTACTTCTCTGATGGAATCGAGGCAACAATTAATCACATTAAAGGATGCCATAGACGAAGCTAATAATCTTCAGAACGTAGAAGTTAAAAATCTGTACAACAAAACAAATAGATCACACCAATGCAATCAGTAAAAGCAGGAAAACCGCGAAGTTACAGAACTTACGTGTGTGAAGATTCAACTGCAAACCCTAATCGGAAAATTCGATGGATACTTGAACCTTTTCTGTTCTTTCACTTTGTAGTGAAGACCTCACACTGTTCATCGTCTAACAAGCCATTGCTGATTGCTCTCCACGATAAAATTCACAATTAGTTCCACCTACAACGCTACATTCTCGTTCAGGCACCTGGAACTATGGCAAGTACCTGTTAAATCCGGGTTATGTTTCGAACTTTTTATTGACATCGAGTGTTTGGAATTGCTCTTTTAAAAAAAAAGTCTTTATCTAAATAATGTTGAGTCTAAAAAAATCCAATAAATTTTTAGATAATTTTTTTAAAATAAATAAATTTTATAAATAAATTCTTGGACATTTCAAAACATGTTAAATAATTTTTTTGACTTTCTAAAACATATTAGATACATTCTTATGACCTATACAACTGGTTAATGTGATAAAATAATTAAAAAAGTTCAAAAAAAAAACCAATGAACATTCATATTTTGAAACATTAAGTTCCTGAACATTTTTTGAACCAAAAAACATTTAGATCTATAAAATCAAACAGATATAATAAAAAATTACTTACATTTACAAAAAAAATTACATATAAAATTTTTTTTTGATAAAATTTATTTTAATTAAAATTA